AAAAAGATTAGTAGAAAACAAAAAGATTAGAAGACAAAAAAAGAAAAAAACCAAAAAAAAGGAGACAAAAAGATTAGTGTAACAAAAAATTAGTAGTAACAAAAAAATAGTAGTAAGACAAAAGATTAGTAAAGACAAAAAGTTAGTAGAAACAAAAATTAGTAGAAACAAAAGATTAGAAAAGGCAAAAGATGTAAAGACAAAAAGATTGGAAAACAAAAGATTGTAACAAAAAGATTAGTAGTAGACAAAAAGATTAGTAGAAGACAAAAAGATTAGTAGACAAAAAGATTAGTAGAAGACAAAAAGATTAGTAGACAAAAAGATTAGTAGACAAAAAGATTAGTAGAAAACAAAAAGATTAGTAGACAAAAATTTAGTAGACAAAAAGATTAGTAGACAAAAAGATTAGTAGACAAAAGATAAAGACAAAAAGTTAGTAACAAAAGATTAGTAAAAAAAGATAGTAACAAAAAGATATAGAAAAAAAATTAGTAGTAGACAAAAAATTAGAGTAGACAAAAAGTTTAGAAAAACAAAAAGTTTAGTAGTAGACAAAAGATTAGTAGTAGACAAAAAGATTAGTATAGACAAAAGATTATAGACAAAAAGATTAGAAGACAAAAAGATTAGAGACAAAAGATTGTAACAAAAGTTTAGTAACAAAAGATTAGTAGAAAACAAAAAGATTAGTGTAACAAAAAGATTAGTAGTAGCCCAAAAAATTGTAGAAACAAAAAATTAGTAGAGACAAAAAGATTAGTAGTAGACAAAAGATTAAAGACAAAAAGATTATGACAAAAGATTATAGACAAAAAGATTATTAACAAAAATTTAGTAGACAAAAAGATTAGTAGACAAAACATACCTTTTTAAAGTGAAACCCTTGAGTGGTGTATGGTACGGTCCTGAGCTGGATTGTTCACCACACAAATAACCCCGCACATAGAAGAGAGGAGCTAACAACGACTTTTTCGGTCCGACTTGGACTTTTTTACAAAGCACACGTTTCCATCCCATACACAGAAAAAAACCCAACACGGGCTTATCATTTGCGAACGTACCAGAATAAGCAGGGTATTCCCCTCGCCATAATACAGTATTTAATGAAGGTTCGGGGGAACCGACCTTTATAAATTAACACATGTGCAACTCTTGGGGAAATTTTTATTAGGAACGTTTCGCCACACATGACTTCACAGCCCTAAAAAGGAAAATTTTTTTAAGAACGGGGGAAATGAGGAAATCATCCCTAAACCCTTTGAGTCGATTGGTCAGCCCCAAAATTTTTTTTGAATAGAATCGGCATATGAGGGGGAGAAGCAGCTTTATACGTAGGCGGGGAAGGTGCAGCAGTCATAGGGGTGTCACAGGGTTTTAAAAGTGCTTCTCGCTCATATGCCATTCACTCAAGATTAATGGACTGACCACATCACTAAAGGGCGGGGGACTGTTTACCCACTCCCCTTTCTTCAAGATTTCCTTTTAGGGGACTGATGAACCACTGGTGGCAAAACGTTTCCTAATAAAGATACCCAAGAGGGTTTCACCTTCTAATGATCAAAACATGAAAAATGCAAGCAAAACCAACCACTCATAAGACGCCACCCCAGAGCCCCTTTGAGGCGGGGTAGATGGCAGACCAGAGGCCTAGCTTCTCCCTACGAGCCCCGTGAGGGCGGGGAATGTGGCTAGGCCTGGGGACACTTGGTCCCAAAGATGAGGAGGTACTTGTACCTCCTCCCATGGGAGACTTAAGTCTCGAGACACTCCCCAGATAGGGAGCCAAGGCCGGGTCACCACTACTTGGAAAAGACCCGGACCGGGAGAATACCGGCGAATAAAAAAAAAAAAAAAAAAAAAATCTCAACAGTCTTGCAGGGTCAGTGGACAATAATACGATATTCAATGGTGACAATTTCCATTTGCTCAGTTATGGAAAGTGAAAAACTAGAAAGGAACGTGTACTGTATACAAAACACAAGAGAAACACGCAGAACAATACGAACGTGTACCAGACTTGAGTACCAAGACAAATACATGAGTAGTTGTGAGTTGGAGTACACTAGCCTGGGCCAGTAAATGACTTGGACCTGCCTAGCACTGGCCAGTAGGCCTGCAGCAGTGCTGCTTCTTTCTTATGTTCTTGTGCCAGATGGTCCGACAAATTTCCACACGAGAGAAACATTGACAATGGTGGCGCTGTTCAAATTATGTGTTCTCTCGTCTTGAATACTATTTACTGTTAACGGTTCCGTTAAAGGAGACGGCAGGTGGGTGTGGAGAGGGTATGGTGCACAGTGGGCATGGTGCACAGTGGGCATGGTGCACAGTGGGCATGGTGCACAGTGGGCATGGTGCACGGTGGGCAAGATTTCTTGATATAAGGCACCTTTGTGTTGAGAAAGTCTACGGGATGGTAACCCGGGAGTGTGCAGATGCATTTATACTACTACGTACTGTGTGACCCCTACGGATTTAAAGCTTCCCATGAATAATAATAATAATATAATAATAATAATAATAATAATAATGTAATAAATAATTATAATGCGTCTGAAATCGACACAACGAAAACGAGCCTAGGCAAAGATATTAATTATTTCGGCCACTGTTAAGTCCATGTCAATAACATAACCCTGGCAGGCTAACCGCCTGGTCAACCAGGCTGTTGGGCTATCGGGGCCAGCTGGCCCTCAAAGCCATCACAATTCAGTGGACCAGAACTCTTGAGAACTTTACACCTGCACAACTTGCAGCTGTGTACCATACAATCATTATCGAGTATCAACATCAATACCGTTGACTATTGCATATTGGTGGCCAAGTCGATACCCCGATATCCATTGTCGATACTCTAATATCTGCTAGGACAGCAGGTCCCAGTGTGAGCCTAGCAGGCTGGACTTATACACAGGCAACACTGTACGGTGTTCACTAGCCTTATAATCTGGTACATCAGCAGGTGTAAGAAACATTACAAACGTCTCTATCTGTCTGATCAAAGATCGAACCCATGTCCAGCAGTTGTGAGTCGAATGCACTACCACTGAGCCAAGAGCCACTACCTTGCATTAATAGTAAACATTACTGACAAGTTGATAATGATACTGACTTGCAACACACTGGTACCTTTATTAAGGAAATGTTTCAATAACAATGATACCAGAATGTTGCCCATGTGTCTTATTCATCAGAAATAAAGTCCAGAATGGTGTTAACATACAACAACACAACGACTCCTATGAGAGGTTTCCAGGCCTTAGCTATGGCCAGACTTCCTTCAGTGTCTGTTAAACCCTTTAACAGTTATCTCCCTTTACTTGATCATTACCTTTTTACCCCCTGCCCTAACATTCCTTGAACACTGGCATTTTATGCTAAATGGCTTATTTATCATCAAATAAAGCGTAATTATGTCCATATTGTGACGTTCCTCCAGCCGAACCGTACACATGAAATGGAATGTAAGGGTTATGGGAGGGGAGTTCCTTGGTCCTTCATTAAGGACCCCAATGGAAATAAGTCAGTGTCTGACTTTTTTGTGTTATCCCAGGTTCTCTACACATATGCTGCTATGTATGATAATTCTATGTAACTGTATTTGTGTATACCTGAATAAACTTACTTGCTTACTAATTATGGGGAGACTGGTATTAGCTGAACTTTGGCTACGAGAGAACCTACCATCGAGGCCGAGCCTTACTCATGGATGGACAAACAGATGAGGTGGAGGGTTACATAGGAACTAGTGGAACAATGTCCCTTCGTCAGTATTTGCATTCCCCATTACAATAATTGTGTAATAAACAACTTTAATAACCCCCCTTATTATTACCCTCCCAATAACCCTATGCAGGTGGTATATACTGGTAATTCTGTATCACCTTGTAACTCTTACCAGCCTGATTATTATAATCAGAAAGAAGCGCTAAACCACAAGGGTTATACAGCTTACCAGCCTGATAAATTGTATGCTCTCATACACCTGTTATAATTTTTCCCGGAACTACAATGGTCTGATTAAGGTTATTACTACAATCAGAATTAAGCGCTGATTAAGGTTACTACAAACAGAATTAAGCGCTAAACCCACAAGGTTCAAACAGCAAGACATAAGCTACCATTCTCGTCCCCCCACGACAAGGTAATGTGGTAAGTGCTAGATGTTTTGGTACGGAGACCAATACTTGGAGAATAAGTGGCTATACCATGGCTTTGACAATTTACAACTAACCCACAATTAAGATTAGATCCTCTGAAAGATGTTTCGCTCTGTCTTCGACCGTTATCAAGTTAGGTAAGAGGACACAAGTGTCACTAATTCGACATTTTATTGTGGCAACGTTTCGCTCTCCAGGAAGTGCAAGGCACTTAACTAACACCTATATATACCCTCTGTGTCCATGTATTGTTTGTAACGGCTTGATAAAGTTCCTGGAGAGCGAAACGTCGCCACTATAAAATGTCGAATTAGTTGCACTTGTGTCCTCTTACCTAACATATTATCGGTAATTCTACCAACATTAATACACTTTATCAAGTTGTGGCTTGATAACGGTCCAAGAAGAAGTGAAACAGTGTGAAGTTTCCTCTGCAAATTCTGCGTTAGTGGTAAACACATAAAGAGAGGCCTGAGCTTGCTACCATCTGCAGCTCATAAGACTGCCATCCCCACGAGCCCCTTTGAGGCGGGGTAGATGGCAGACCAGAGGCCTAGCTTCTCTCTACGAGCCCCTTGAGGGCGGGGAATGTGGCTAGGCCTGGGGACACTTGGTCCCAAAGATGAGGGTGTACTTGTACCTCCTCCCATGGGAGACTTCAGTCTCGAGACACTCCCCAGATAGGGAGCCAAGGCCGGGTCACCACTACTTGGAAAAGACCCGGGCCGGGAGAATACCGGCGAATAAAAAAAAAAAAAAAAAAAAGAAAAGTGGCAAACACTAACAGTAATAACGAACTCCCTCACCTCTTGAAGTTGCCTCCGAATCGGTGGGGCAGTCACTGGCTTCGCTCGCAGACGGTAGGAACTGGATAACCAATTTGCTTTCTTCAGGACTCAGTTCACACACAGAGACAGTATTGTGCTGGACGGGTGAGTCCTGGCATGATAGAGGAAGCTGTGAGGCCCTGTGTGATACGAAGTGTTCATGGAAGTCTCTGGAAGTGAAGATTGCGAGGTAGAGGGACCCATGTGTGAGACTACTGAACACTGTTGGGAAGTGGGTGTCGCTGCCATATTGGGATCATTTCTTGTGTCGCCGTGGTTATAAGGCATTTCTGCTGGTTTTGGAAGGATCATCCTCTTGCCTGGGAACTTGTGGGGGTAGATAAGGCCGCCGGGATAGTTGGTGTTGTGTTGTGGGTAGTGTTGAGGAGGTCGCATGCAAAATGGGCGGCTTGTTGGTCGCGTGTGGTCGAGGATATCCTGGAACCTCTCAGGGTGGTGGTGCTGGATGTGTTTCCTCATGTTTGTGGTGTTGGTGTAGGCTCCCACGAAGGAGCACAAGCGGCAGATATAGTGGCAGTTGTCTACCATGCCGAAGTATCGCCACACGCGGGATGTCCGTCTTGTCAAGCTCCCCCCCATGTTCACTCCTCCAACACCACCCACTGCACCAACACTACCGCCCACTGCACCAACACCACCACCACCACCCACTGCACCAACACTACCACCCATCCCAGCACCGGCGACCTGGCCCACTCCAGCACCACCCACAACCTGGCCCATCCCAGCACCCAGGGCTGGACCACCTCCCATGTTAACAGAGTCCTGGGAGAGGGAGGTGTGGGTGTTTATACTCTGGTTATCCATAACTACACGTCACTTGAACACTTATGCAGCGAGGCAGGTGTGTGTGGCCACGTGATAACCTACACAACAGTTACCAACGCTTTCACGAAACTCTACCGACCATCCTTAGTACCTTCATTTTATTAAAAGGAATAACATGTTAAATTACTTTCATTCAACAAGTTAACAGTATTAAACTATAACTTTTCATTATTTATTAATTCAACATGCACATTGATTCGTCAGTATTATCAAGAGAATAGTGACCATAACACTAGGATAGTGATCCAGTGATTGTTTTTATATATCGTGTTTAATATGCCTTCGGTAAGACACGTTGTTTGACCACCTAACAGGTCACCTGACAGACCTGTGTCAGGAGACTTGTTTCCTGAACACTAACCGAGGCTTGACCAAGTTATGTTGAGTAAAGTTTGTCAAGAAACAGGACACAAGTGTTTCCTGACACTTGTCTTAGTTATATGATGGTAAGATTGGTCAGGAAACAGGACAAGTGTTTCCTGACACTGGTCTTAGTTATATGATGGTAAGATTGGTCAGGAAACAGTACAAGAGTTTCCTGACACTGGTCTTAGTTATATGATGGTAAGATTGGTCAGGAAACAGTACAAGAGTTTCCTGACACTGGTCTTAGTTATATGATGGTAAGATTGGTCAGGAAACAGTACAAGAGTTTCCTGACACTGGTCTTAGTTATATGATGGTAAGATTGGTCAGGAAACAGTACAAGTGTTTCCTGACGCTGGTCTTAGTTATATGATGGTAAGATTGGTCAGGAAACAGGACAAGTGTTTCCTGACACTGGTCTTAGTTATATGATGGTAAGATTGGTCAGGAAACAGTACAAGTGTTTCCTGACACTGGTCTTAGTTATATGATGGTAAGATTGGTCAGGAAACAGTACAAGTGTTTCCTGACACTGGTCTTAGTTATATGATGGTAAGATTGGTCAGGAAACAGTACAAGTGTTTCCTGACACTGGTCTTAGTTATATGATGGTAAGATTGGTCAGGAAACAGTACAAGTGTTTCCTGACACTGGTCTTAGTTATATGATGGTAAGATTGGTCAGGAAACAGTACAAGTGTTTCCTGACACTGGTCTTAGTTATATGATGGTAAGATTGGTCAGGAAACAGTACAAGTGTTTCCTGACACTGGTCTTAGTTATATGATGGTAAGATTGGTCAGGAAACAGTACAAGTGTTTCCTGACACTGGTCTTAGTTATATGATGTAAGATTGGTCAGGAAACAGTACAAGTGTTTCCTGACACTGGTCTTAGTTATATGATGGTAAGATTGGTCAGAAACAGCACAAGTGTTTCCTGACACTGGTCTTAGTTATATGATGGTAAGATGGTCAGGAAACAGTACAAGTGTTTCCTGACGCTGGTCTTAGTTATATGATGGTAAGATTGGTCAGGAAACAGCACAAGTGTTTCCTGACACTGGTCTTAGTTATATGATGGTAAGATTGGTCAGGAAACAGTACAAGTGTTTCCTGACACTGGTCTTAGTTATATGATGGTAAGATTGGTCAGGAAACAGTACAAGTGTTTCCTGACACTGGTCTTAGTTATATGATGGTAAGATTGGTCAGGAAACAGTACAAGTGTTTCCTGACGCTGGTCTTAGTTATATGATGGTAAGATTGGTCAGGAAACAGCACAAGTGTTTCCTGACACTGGTCTTAGTTATAATGATGGTAAGATTGGTCAGGAAACAGTACAAGTGTTTCCTGACACTGGTCTTAGTTATATGATGGTAAGATTGGTCAGGAAACAGTACAAGTGTTTCCTGACGCTGGTCTTAGTTATATGATGGTAAGATTGGTCAGGAAACAGTACAAGTGTTTCCTGACGCTGGTCTTAGTTATATGATGGTAAGATTGGTCAGGAAACAGTACAAGTGTTTCCTGACGCTGGTCTTAGTTATATGATGGTAAGATTGGTCAGGAAACAGTACAATGTTTCCTGACGCTGGTCTTAGTTATATGATGGTAAGATTGGTCAGGAAACAGTACAAGTGTTTCCTGACGCTGGTCTTAGTTATATGATGGTAAGTTTGGGTCAGGAAACAGTACAAGTGTTTCCTGACACGGGTCTTAGTTATATGATGGTAAGATTGGTCAGGAAACAGTACAAGTGTTTCCTGACACTGGTCTTAGTTATATGATGGTAAGATTGGTCAGGAAACATACAAGTGTTTCCTGACACTGGTCTTAGTTATATGATGGTAAGATTGGTCAGGAAACAGTACAAGTGTTTCCTGACACTGGTCTTAGTTATATGATGGTAAGATTGGTCAGGAAACAGTACAAGTGTTTCCTGACGCTGGTCTTAGTTATATGATGGTAAGATTGGTCAGGAAACAGTACAAGTGTTTCCTGACGCTGGTCTTAGTTATATGATGGTAAGATTGGTCAGGAAACAGTACAAGTGTTTCCTGACACTGGTCTTAGTTATATGATGGTAAGATTGGTCAGGAAACAGTACAAGTGTTTTCCTGACGCTGGTCTTAGTTATATGATGGTAAGATTGGTCAGGAAACAGTACAAGTGTTTCCTGACACTGGTCTTAGTTATATGATGGTAAGATTGGTCAGGAAACAGTACAAGTGTTTCCTGACACTGGTCTTAGTTATATGATGGTAAGATTGGTCAGGAAACAGTACAAGTGTTTCCTGACGCTGGTCTTAGTTATATGATGGTAAGATTGGTCAGGAAACAGTACAAGTGTTTCCTGACACTGGTCTTATTTTATATGATGGTAAGATTGGTCAGGAAACAGTACAAGTGTTTCCTGACACTGGTCTTAGTTATATGATGGTAAGATTGGTCAGGAAACAGTACAAGTGTTTCCTGACGCTGGTCTTAGTTATATGATGGTAAGATTGGTCAGGAAACAGTACAAGTGTTTCCTGACACTGGTCTTAGTTATATGATGGTAAGATTGGTCAGGAAACAGTACAAGTGTTTCCTGACGCTGGTCTTAGTTATATGATGGTAAGATTGGTCAGGAAACAGTACAAGTGTTTCCTGACGCTGGTCTTAGTTATATGATGGTAAGATTGGTCAGGAAACAGTACAAGTGTTTCCTGACACTGGTCTTAGTTATATGATGGTAAGATTGGTCAGGAAACAGTACAAGTGTTTCCTGACGCTGGTCTTAGTTATATGATGGTAAGATTGGTCAGGAAACAGTACAAGTGTTTCCTGACACTGGTCTTAGTTATATGATGGTAAGATTGGTCAGGAAACAGTACAAGTGTTTCCTGACGCTGGTCTTAGTTATATGATGGTAAGATTGGTCAGGAAACAGTACAAGTGTTTCCTGACACTGGTCTTAGTTATATGATGGTAAGATTGGTCAGGAAACAGTACAAGTTTTTTCCTGACACTGGTCTTAGTTATATGATGGTAAGATTGGTCAGGAAACAGTACAAGTGTTTCCTGACACTGGTCTTAGTTATATGATGGTAAGATTGGTCAGGAAACAAGTGTTTCCTGACGCTGGTCTTAGTTATATGATGACCCACAGCTGGAGCTTTAAGTCATCTGACCGAGACCTTCCACTGGCTTACCACTCAGCTTTAAAAATCATGGAATTAGATTCACTTGACCACTTCAGGATACAAATGTAGAGTTTCCTCCGTCCCTGTGGATTATTCAACGCAAGGACTTGTAAGCATGATTTTTCGTTAAACCCGCATGGGCCAGTCAGTGCTGAGTGGTGGAGGCTCGATCCTCCGTCCTTTAGACCTCAGTTCGTAAGCAGTCAGGCTATTATACTTAACTAGTGGATTCTTCTAAGATTATAACAGAAGGAGACAACAGGAGACAACTAGGTTCGATATAAAGGGGACAATAGCTCCAGTTCCTTACATCAAGAGCCCTTCAAGATCCTCACACATCTGTGACCCGTCTCCAGTTTTTCTACTCTGGCAGCCGGCCAGGAGCCAAGCCTCACTGCCTGCCTGGTCAACCAGGCTGTTCCTGCTGGCTTTAAGTTTGTTGCCAAGGAGAGCTGAACAACACTGCCTGGAGCATCCTCCAAGTCTGCTCCACATAAACATCCTGCACTTCCATATCCTGGATAATACCAAGAATATCCTAGATAATTCCAAGAATATCCTAGATAATTCCAAGAATATCCTTGATAATTCCAAGAATATCCTTGATAATACCAATAATATCCTGATAATACCAAGAATATCCTGATAATACCAAGAATATCCTGATAATACCAAGAATATCCTTAAAATACCAAGAATATCCTTGATAATGCCAAGAATATTCTTGATAATACCAAGAATATCCTTGATAATACCAAGAATATCCTGATAATACCAAGAATATCCTGATAATACCAAGAATATCCTGATAATACCAAGAATATCCTGATAATACCAAGAATATCCTGATAATACCAAGAATATCCTGATAATACCAAGAATATCCTTGATAATACCAAGAATATCCTTGATAATACCAAGAATATCCTTGATAATACCAAGAATATCCTGATAATACCAAGAATATCCTGATAATACCAAGAATATCCTGATAATACCAAGAATATCCTTGATAATTCCAAGAATATCCTTGATAATACCAAGAATATCCTTGATAATACCAAGAATATCCTTGATAATACCAAGAATATCCTTGATAATACCAAGAATATCCTGATAATACCAAGAATATCCTGATAATACCAATAATATCCTTGATAATTCCAAGAATATCCTGATAATACCAAGAATATCCTGATAATACCAAGAATATCCTTGATAATACCAAGAATATCCTTGATACCAAAAATATCCTTGATAATACCAAGAATATCCTTGATAATTCCAAGAATATCCTTGATAATACCAAGAATATCCTTGATAATACCAAGAATATCCTTGATAATACCAAGAATATCCTTGATAATTCCAAGAATATCCTTGATAATACCAAAAATATCCTTGATAATACCAAGATATACCTTGATAATACCAAGAATATCCTTGATAATTCCAAGAATATCCTTGATAATTCCAAGAATATCCTTGATAATACCAAGAATATCCTTGATAATACCAAGAATATCCTTGATAGTACAAGAATATCCTTGATAATACCAAGAATATCCTTGATAATACCAAGAATATCCTTGATAATACCAAGAATATTCTTAATAATACCAAGAATATCCTTGATAATACCAAGAATATCCTTGATAATACCAAGAATATTCTTGATAATACCAAGAATATTCTTGATAATACCAAGAATATTCTTGATAATACCAAGAATATCCTGGTAATACCAAGAATATTCTTGATAATACCAAGAATATCCTTGATAATTCCAAGAGTATCCTTGATAATACCAAGAATATCCTTGATAATACCAAGAATATCCTTGATAATACCAAGAATATCTTTGATAATTCCAAGAATATCCTGATAATACCAAGAATATTCTTGATAATACCAAGAATATCCTTGATAATACCAAGAATATTCTTGATAATACCAAGAATATTCTTGATAATACCAAGAATATCCTTGATAATACCAAGAATATCCTTTATAATACCAAGAATATCCTTGATAATACCAAGAATATCCTTGATAATACCAAGAATATCCTTGATAATACCAAGAATATCCTTGATAATACCAAGAATATCCTTGATAGTACAAGAATATCCTTGATAATACGAAGAATATCCTTGATAATACCAAGAATATCCTTGATAATACCAAGAATATCCTTGATAATACCAAGAATATTCTTGATAATACCAAGAATATCCTTGATAATACCAAGAATATTCTTGATAATACCAAGAATATCCTTGATAATACCAAGAATATCCTTGATAATACCAAGAATATCCTTGATAATACCAAGAATATTCTTGATAATACCAAGAATATCCTTGATAATAATAAGAATATCCTTGATAATACCAAGAATATCCTTGATAGTACCAAGAATATCCTTGATAATACCAAGAATATCCTTGATAATACCAAGAATAATCTTGATAATACCAAGAATATCCTTGATAATACCAAGAATATCCTTGATAATACCAAGAATATCCTTGATAATACCAAGAATATCCTTGATAATACCAAGAATATCCTTGATAATACCAAGAATATCCTTGATAGTTCAGCATTTAAGACCAATTTTGTAAATAATTACGAAGTACTTAACCTACAGGGCACACAGCACCCGGGTAATGGAAGCAAGCGGGTTTGATCCAAGGAAAGAGAGGGTATGATTGATTTTCTAAGTGTTGAAAGCAGTGTTACTCCTCTCAGTGAATAAGATGAATACACTGACTCACTAGTACTACACTTCACTAAGATTCACTATTCACTTAATGACACACATGAATACAGCACACGAGGCTACACTTGGGAACACATTCACTTGACCAAGTGTTTCACAACACCGGCGAGGTGTTGCTGCCAGCCACGGGTGTCTCAAGATGTCAGTGTCGGTGTGTTGCACGACCCTGCCACGGGTAGACTGCAACAACCATCGGACTCCTGCACGACGTGTCGTACGTCAGGAAGTGTGTGTGTGTGTGTGTGTGTGTGTTGCCGAGTTCGTGTGCGTGAGTGTGTGCGTACGAGGGCCGTGGTAGGGTGTGCTGGTCGGCACTACAGTAGGAGAGAGAGTGAGGCTGGTCCGCTGATACCCCCCAACTCTGATATCTGATATCGACCGATACTGAGCACGCCGCCTCCCAAGCCCCTCACCTGCCCACGGATTCGTCTTCGCCATTCCGAACACTGTACGCAGGTTAACTTGCGCCGCTTCTTACTTAATACATCCCAAAGTAATAATTCCAACAGTAATTAATATCCCGCTGTCAACTCTAGCAGCCAAGAATTATCAGTCAAAATAACTCAGAACTGTCCAGATACAGGAACCAATACCTACAAACTTTCATCAAAATTATTAGTAGTATTTGTAGTAGTAGTATTACTAGTTGTAGTAGAATTAGTAGGTGTAGTAGAAGGTGTAGTTGTAGTAGTAGAGGTGGTAGTAGTAGTAGTAGTAGTTGTAGTAGTAATACTATTTGCAGTGGTAGTACTAGTTGTAATACTAGTAGTAGTAGTTGTAGTTGTAGAGGTGGTAGTAGTAGTAGTAGTAGTTGTAGTAGTAATACTAGTTGTACTGGTAGTACTAGTTGTAATACTAGTAGTAGTTGTAGCAGTAGTTGTAGTAATACTAGTTGTAGTGGTACTAGTTGTAGTAGTGCTAGTTGTAATACTAGTTGTAGTAGTAGTAGTAATACTAGTAGTTGTAGTAGCAGTAGAAATTTATAAAACACAAGAGGAATTTGAGGTAATCATGTTTAATCTAAGGGTGAAGGTCGCTCCAACTGCTTGAATCAAGAGCCCTAGATGAGTATCAAGGGCACCTCCCCCTTGCTGAAGGAGGTTAGAGTAGTAGTTGCATGGGAAGCCTTGGTTAGTGACGAGCAAGCTGGTGGTCAAGAGGATGCCAAGTGCACTCAACCGAAAGGGCGGTATTCGTGCAATAAGTACTAAGGTCATAAGACGTAAGGGAGATGAGAAGGGGTGGGTGTAGAGTGGATGACATCTCGTGGACTGCTAATGATGCTGGTCCGGGTTGTCTGATAATATTGATAACGGTACTGATAACTACTCTGATAACTACTCTTAACAGTAGCGTCAATATTCCTTCTCTACTCCCCTCAAGGGATGTTCCTTGATGCTAGTGAGGGGCTCTTGATCTAGGGAATTGGATCTGTGCTCCAGTTCCCTGAATTGAGCCTTAATTCCTTCCATCCCCCCCCCCACACAAGCGTTGTATAATCCCTACGGGTTTAGTGTTCATGATAATACTAATACTCGCATACTTGGTAAGGCTGGTTAATTATTCGGGTTTAAAACCTATCGATTACACAAGGGTTATTAAGGATGCACGAACCTATTCACCATCAGCCAAGAACACTTCAGTACCTTTAAAACGGTTTAAATCCCCTGTGGGAAGTGGAAAGTAACACGACTTTCAACGGTGACAAGTTCCACCTGCTTAGATATGCAAAAAATGAACCCAACAGGAACACTGTATATAAATAAAGAGCAGCACTAAATATAATAAAAAAAAAAAGTGGAGGACCTGGGTATAATACTGTCAGTTCACTTTTCTTTCAGAGAACAGTACGGTACGTTGGTTTGCGTGCAGCCAGCAGCAACAGCCTGGTTGATCAGGCTCTGATCCACCAGGAGGCCTGGTCACAGACCGGGCCGCGGGGGCGTTGACCCCCGGAACTCTCTCCAGGTAAACTCCAGGTAAACGTCACTGGCACAGCGGTCAGGAAAGTAACAGGGAGAATAATGGCAACTTTGTAAATTAAACAAACAGTGCCACTGGTAATACTTTCTAAATTGCTTGTGCTCTCTCGCTTAGAGTATTGTTCAGTGTTGACAGCCCCGTGCAGGGCAAGATAGATATCATAGCTAAAACATATTCAAAGATCTTTTACGACCCGCACAGAGCAATAAAACACTGAAATTGCTGGGAATGTCTCATATGTAGAAACTGCTTAAGGGCGTAGTTATAAACTACTTGAGGGCGTAGTTATAAACTACTTGAGGGCGTAGTTATAATAAAGAGATATAAGAGACGTGCAAAATAAACCCAGATGAAAGGCAGGGGTTCCGTGGGCACAATAAGAGAACAATGTATCAACATTCGTGGTCTAAGACGTCTTAACATCTCGCCAGAAGATATCAGAAACACTGCTGGGAAAAGTGTAGAAGTCTTCAAGAAGAAATTATACAGGTCTCTCTCCCAGGTGCCAGATCAACCAGGCTGTGATGGATACGTGAACCAGCAGGCCGTCAACAGCAACAACCTGGTTGACCAGGCAAGCACCAGACAAGCCTGGTCCAGGGCCTGGTTGCGAGAGTAAGAAAACTCTGGAAACCCATCAAAAGAATACTGAGAGGAATATGTACCTCTCAGTGGGCAATATACAATAACATGATACGTATACTTAGAAAGGGTTTCGGGGTCAACGCCCCCGCGGCCCGGTCTGAGATCAGGCCTCGTGGTGGATCAGGGTCTGATCAACCAGGCAGTTACTGCTGGCCACACGCAAACTGATGTACGTACCACAGCCCGGCTGGTCAGGTACTGACTTTAGGTGCCTGTCCAGTGCCTTCTTGAAGACAGCCAGGGGTATATTGGTAATCCCCCTTATGTATGCTGGGAGGCAACTGAACAGTCTTGGGCCCCTGACACTTAGTGTGTTGTCTCCCAGTGTACTCGTGGCGCCACTGCTTTTCAATGGCAGAATGTTGCATCTTCTGCCGAGTCGTTTGCTGTCATAGGGAGTGATTTTCGTGTGCCGGTTTGGTACTATCCCTCCAGAATTTTCCAAGTGTATATTATCATGTATCTATCTCCCCTGTATTCCAGGGAATACAAATCAAGGGACTTCAACCGTTCCCAGTAATTTAGGTGCTTTATCGTACTTATGTGTGTAGCCACTAAGTTCCTTAGTACACTCTCATAAGCAATTTCGCCTCTTGAAGGTGGGGCACGTTAGTGTACAACATATCCATACCTAGCAGTACTGGATCCCAGTTTCGAAAAAGTTACACATCCATCCTATCATTTTTTCTAGCAGATGCGGTAGATACGTTATTGTGGGTCCATGAAGGTAGATTCTTGACATTATTAGCTCCCAGGTCTTTCACATTACTTTTTTTTGCTATTGTACTGTGCTGACAATTCCACTGTTTAATATAGAAAAGAAATGAGGGCCATTCAAACGAAGCACTAGGATACAGGCAGACCATGTGTGGCACTGAAGGTAAGCAACATGTTACAGAATTTAGGAATCAGTGACTTTACCATTAAGGAACACAATAGGCAAATGTAACCTAGGCCGGTGCACACTAATGTACTAGGATAAGAGAACCTTTAGCAGTAAACAATGATGGTACGTTTCAATCCACTGTGCATCAATAAAAGGGCACCTCTGGGTCCCACAATTAACTCAAACGAATAGTGTCAACACGCCATGGACCAAGACTACAAACATGGCTAGCAACAGAGTTTCAACCACAATGTATATAGAATGTGTCAAACTGCTGTGTTCCCACAATGTAACTACCATAAAGAATAGTGTAGCAACACTGCTGGTGTTCCCACAATGTAACTATCATACAGAATAGTGTAGCAACACTGCTGGTGTTCCCACAATGTAACTATCATATAGAACAGTGTAGCAACACTGCTGGTGTTCCCACATGTAACTATCATATAGAATAGTGTAGCAACACTGCTGGTGTTTCCCACAATGTAACTATCATATAGAATAGTGTAGCAACACTGCTGGTGTTCCCACAATGTAACTATCATATAGAATAGTGTAGCAACACTGCTGGTGTTCCCACAATGTAACTATCATATAGAATAGTGTAGCAACACTCCCTGGTGTTCCCACAATGTAACTATCATATAGAATAGTGTAGCAACACTGCTGGTGTTCCCACAATGTAACTATCATATAGAATAGTGTAGCAACACTGCTGGTGTTCCCACAATGTAACTATCATATAGAATAGTGTAGCAACACTGCTGGTGTTCCCACAATGTAACTATCATATAGAATAGTGTAGCAACACTGCTGGTGTTCCCACAGTGTAAACTATCATATAGAATAGTGTAGCAACACTGCTGGTGTTCCCACAATGTAACTATCATATAGAATAGTGTAGCAACACTGCTGGTGTTCCCACAATGTAACTATCATATAGAATAGTGTAGCAACACTGCTGGTGTTCCCACAATGTAACTATCATATAGAATAGTGTAGCAACACTGCTGGTGTTCCCACAATGTAACTATCATATAGAATAGTGTAGCAACACACTGCTGGTGTTCCCACAATGTAACTATCATATAGAATAGTGTAGCAACACTGCTGCTGGTGTTCCCACAATGTAACTATCATATAGAATAGTGTAGCAACACACTGCTGGTGTTCCCACAATGTAACTATCATATAGAATAGTGTAGCAACACACTGCTGGTGTTCCCACAATGTAACTATCATATAGAATAGTGTAGCAACACTGCTGGTGTTCCCACAATGTAACTATCATATAGAATAGTGTAGCAACACTGCTGGTGTTCCCACAATGTAACTATCATATAGAATAGTGTAGCAACACTGCTGGTGTTCCCACAATGTAACTATCATATAGAATAGTGTAGCAACACTGCTGGTGTTTCCACAATGTAACTATCAGAAGAAGTAGTGTAGCAACACTACTGGTGTTCCAACAGTGTAACCATCATATAAATTTGTGTAGCAACACTGCTGGTGTTCCCACAATGTAACTATCATATAGAATAGTGTAGCAACACACTGCTGGTGTTCCCACAATGTAACTATCATATAGAATAGTGTAGCAACACATGCTGGTGTTCCCACAATGTAACTATCATATAGAATAGTGTAGCAACACTGCTGGTGTTCCCACAATGTAACTATCATATAGAATAGTGTAGCAACACTGCTGGTGTTCCCACAATGTAACTATCATATAGAATAGTGTAGCAACACTGCTGGTGTTCCCACAATGTAACTATCATATAGAATAGTGTAGCAACACTGCTGGTGTTCCCACAATGTAACTATCATATAGAATAGTGTAGCAACACTGCTGGTGTTCCCACAATGTAACTATCATATAGAATAGTGTAGCAACACTGCTGGTGTTCCCACAATGTAACTATCAGAGAGAGTAGTGTAGCACAACACTGCTGGTTTTCCCCACAATGTAACTATCATATAGAATAGTGTAGCAACACACTGCTGGTGTTCCCACAATGTAACTATCATATAGAATAGTGTAGCAACACACTGCTGGTGTTCCCACAATGTAACTATCATATAGAATAGTGTAGCAACACTGCTGTGTGTTCCACAATGTAACTATCATATAGAATAGTGTAGCAACACTGCTGGTGTTCCCACAATGTAACTATCATATAGAATAGTGTAGCAACACTGCTGGTGTTCCCACAATGTAACTATCATATAGAATAGTGTAGCAACACTGCT